AGTTGCTAAATTAACCTCCAGAGGATTAAAAATAACTTTAAATTAGGCATCACTTATGATTTTTTAATTTATGTATTTATACATATCTTATTTGCAAATACAATTTTTCTTTAGAAATAGCTGTAATCTAAGGATGACTCATAATGCCCAATAAAAATATAACTTTTTTTTCTAAATGCTGAGAAAGCATTTCTCTTATTCAATTACGATGCATTATAATACAACAAAGCTAATACTTACCAGAAGAAGCCATGGCTAAACAGAATGACTCGAAAAGGTATTACAGCTATTCCAGTAAATGACTCCTAAGAAAACAGACACATCCTTAAATAAATTGAAATAAGCAGTACCATTAACATTAAATCTCAGTATTTAACAATTTAAAATAGTTCTAAATAAGCATTATTGATAACAGTTATATCTTCTATCAGCGTCTTGTTTTACAAATTTAGAAGATACGTGTGAAATAATGCATTTAAAAATGTCAAGCAGTATGGAATGTAATAATCAAACTAGAATTGTCAGCCTTAGGTCATATCTGCTATGTCCTACTTTTCACCTTAAGACCCATTCAAAATCCAATGTAACACATCTATGTGGAATGAACAAAGACAGGGTACCACGTGGTTCTTCTTCCTGAGACACTATCATCACCATATTCTCACCAATGACAGTATGGTTATTTTATTGTTTAACATAAAGCACAGCATTTATGTTAAAGCTAAACAATTAGCTAAGATGATATCTACTTCCTCACTAAATTCACATGCAAAGATTAAAGTTAAATATAATCAGTTTTTTAAAAAAAAGTTTTATTTTTGTCTTAAATTAGAAGCAATTTCTTTATAGCAATAACAAAGAATCCAGCACTATACTATTCACAGCTAGACAATAAAATATCCACACACAGTTGCTTTTAAAGGCAGACATACTAGCTTTCTCTTTAAATACACCTAGATTGAGGATACCCCTGGAGTGCTTGTTGCTTGGACACCCAGACATCTGATGCTGGCATCATTTTATTTAACAGCTCACCTAAAAATAAGGTGTAGTACTCAAGAAAATGCATTTCTAAGGAACACTTATCAACTAAGAGCTGTCTATATTTTCTAGGGCAATGATCAAGGATGATCAAACCTTTTGCATATCGAATTAGAACTCAAGAAAATGCATATTTCTAATGACCTACCAGCCAGAGATAAGTAATGCCATTGTTCCTGCTTTTTGAAAAAGGCTCAAAGCACAAAGCCTCAGCAGGACAATGTTTGTTCTACATTAGCATCAATAAAGCAACCACATTGCTCTTGGCTCTCTTTAACGCACATCCACACAAAGGACTTGAGATAAAGCAGGAACTCAGCAAAAAACATGAAATAAAAGGACCCCTCTGGTTTAAGGCTCCTAAGGGCGCGATGATCCAATAAGGGGGAAAACAGCACTGTGGGGGACTATTCGTTTTTGCAGGAAAAAAAAATAAATCGAAACCACGAAGCTGCCCGTTAAAGCCAGATAAACAACGCCCAAGACTGAGGAGGAAGGAAGGGTGGAGAAAAGCCCCCCACCGTTGCCCCTCGGTGGGGCGGGGCCATCCACAGCCAGCCAGCCATCACCATACTAAAGAGAACAGATTTAAAAAAAAAAAAAAAAAAAGGGAATGGGAGGAGAAAGGAGGCCCCGCCCTCCCCACGCGCCGCTCTCGAACGCACCGAATTCAAACCGCCTGAAGAAAAAAAATGAGCAAAGAGCGCGCGCGCGCGCTAATCCCCTTTGGCCGGGAGGGGGTTTGCAACGGTAACATCCGGGCACCCGCCGCTCGGGCTCTCCCTCCCTCCCTCCCTGTTTGCCCCCGCTCCCCTGGGGAGCCCCTCCCCCTTTTCGACCCGCCAGAAGAGCTTCGCGCGGGACGCGCTCTTTGATTTTGGATCCTTCTGGATCCTCAGCCTGCAAGGGGGGGGGGGAGAGATTCTTTTCAGTTCCCGCACACACCCCCATCCACCGCTTTTTCCCTCGTGGAAATTTCAGGCATTTCCCCCCCCCCCGGCTGACCGTGAAGGCGCGCGCCAGGTGGGTGTTGTCTCTGGCGCCCCCTCCCTTCCAACCCAGTCAGCGCGCGCGGCAAGGCGGCGGCGGCGCCCCCCCCCCTCCTTCCCGCCGCCGCCGCCGCCCCTTCCCCTCGAACAATGGATCAAAGGGCTCCACTTCTGTCAACCCGAGGAGGGGCTGGGAGAAAGAGCGCGAGAGCCAGCCGGCAGAGCTAGCGGCGCCGGGCCAGCCACCTGTTCCGGACGGAGCTGGAGGCAGAAGGCGAAGGAGCCGTAGCCGAGCGTCCAAGTCTCGCAGCGGCCCTTGGTCGACGTCGCGTCCCGTTTTTCTCTCCCGTCACCCCCGAAAGAAAAGACGCCGCCGAGGTGGACGGAGCCCGCCCGAGACAAAGCGGCTTTGCGGGGAGACCTCGCCCGAGCCTTTTCCCCACCCAACGCTCCTCGCAAAGGCAGACTCGCCCCGCCAGGGCCGCCCGGCCCTACCTCGCTTCCAACCCAGCCTTGCCTCGACCCACCTGGTCCCGTCACCACACACGGACTCCGCGCCTAACTGCCCTGCCCGCTCTACAAAAGCGCCAAACAAAGGCACGTGACCCGCCCCCGACACGCCCTCTATTGGTTGAGGCGGACGGCACGTGCCGCTCGGCGGGAGGGCGGGAGGAGAAGGGAGGGGGGGCGTCCACTACCCCGTCTCCTTTTTTTTAATCTAGGTTTGATGGGAAATGTAGTCCCGCGTCCCGTCCTTGGTACCGTAAAGCTCCCGGGGCTTTACCTTTTTAATCAAAGGTCTGGTCGCTGTCGTAATGCCCTGCGCTCGATGAAGAATCAATCAGGGTGAATGCTCAGCCAGCTTTACGCGTGGGGCCGTGGCCATTATTACGTTGGGATGGGTGTGGCCTAGAAAGTTACGGATCTCAGCCTGTGGGAAGGCGATTCAGTGAGGGCAGAGCAGGCCCGAGGGCCTCGGTGCAGCCCAGCCTCGCTGGTTCTCCCTGCCTTCTGCGGGGCATCTGTGTTCCGCCTCTCTGCTTCTACCTGGGTCTCGTTGGGCAAAAGCTGGTGCTGGCCTCCATCAGACTCGTGCAGACTTCACAGTAATGAATTGGTAGTCTAAAAAGCTAATACAATCCTGGGTTGTATAAACAGGCATAGAATCACGATTACGCAAAGTATTAGAGCCGCTTTATAAAACCCTAGTAAGACCACGCCTGGAATACAGCAACAAATTTTGGCCACCATACTACAAAAAAGATGTTGAGAGTTTGGAAAAAGTTCAGAGAAGAGCAATTAAGATGAGCCAAGGCTAAAACATACGAAGTATGGCTGCAGGACGTTGGTTTAAAGAAAAGAAGAAATAGGGGTGACATGTATTTGAGAGGCTGCCACAAAGAAGAGGGGGTCAGGTTGTTCACCAGAGCACCAGAGGGAAGGATGAGAAACAATGGTTGGAAGCTGATCAAAGAGAGAAGCAACCTGGAATTAAGGAGAAAGTTCCTGACAGTGAGGACACTCAACCAGTGGAACAGCTTGCTTTCAGAAATCGTGGGTGCTCCATCACTGGAGGTTTATAAGAAGAGACTGGACAGTCACTTATCTGAGATGGTATAGGTTCTCCTGCTTGAGCGGGGGGAGGGGCTGGACTAGAAGACCTCCAAAGTCCCTTCCAGCTCCTATCCTATCCTGAACTGGAGGCTCACCTCCTCCCAGTTTTGGCACTTCCATATAGGACTGAAGGAGCAGATTTCTTGGGAAATAGGGACCACACCCTCCAGAACCTACTGGCAGAGAAATATTGGCTTATTTGTTCAATTTCAGCCCTTCACAATCAGTCTGCACTCTATTGGTTTCAGCCAGTAATACAGGTAGGCTTCAACTTACGGCAGTTCATTTAGTGACCATTCAAAGTTATAACAATAATGAAAAAAGGGACTTATGACTATTTTTCACACTTACAACGGTTGCAGCAGTGTTGCAGTCATGTGGTCAAAATTCAGAGATTTGGCAACTGACTCAAATTTCTGACGGTTGCAGTGTCCCGGGGTCATGTGATCACCTTTTGCAAACTTCTGACAAAGTCAGTGGGGAAGCCAGATTCACTTAACAATGTGCTACTAACTTAACAAGGGTCGTGATTTACTTAACAACTGTAGCAAGAAAAGTCGTAAAGTGGGACAAAACTCAAAAAATTATTCACTTAGCAACAAAAATTTGGGCTCAGTTGTGGTTGTAAGTCGAGGACTATCTGTGTATAGTAAACCATCATCCACAATATAATAATGGCTTTTCAGAGTGAGATAGGTAGCATATAAATTTAATAATAAAATGAAAATGGAGTTCAAAAGACACACTCAAAAGATGTTAAGTTCCTGCAGGGAGAAAACAAAGTGCAACAAATAAATTACCATATTGTTGCATTCAAACTTCAAAAGCATAGTTTTGTTTAGGTTCTTCAAATGTTCATTGACTACATAGCAGAATTCACCTCTCATGTGATTAATTAGGTTTACACTTTTAGGCTAAGCTGCAATGCGTGAACTCAGTCATTATGTGCTTAAATATATTTGGAAAGGAAAATTAAGAACCAAGAATCCGCATATATACAAGTCGAATTTGTTAGCAGATTCAGTGAATGTTAAACACACTTTTTGTATCATATGAGTGAAGCTGAAATGTGAAATCTGTTAGACATTTTGTCTTGGGCATTATGTATTGTACAGACTTTAATTGCTTTAATAGCAACAGAAATAAAAAGCAATAAAGGATTAAAAATATTTTAAGAGATGATTGTGATGTACTTTTTCCACTTTTTCCATTAGAACTAGATGGAATCACAAAATGTTTGCAGCACAATCAATATACTGTATTAGATTTAAGATGCCCCATATTTGTTCCACAAAAGATGGATGAGACAGCCACTTGACTTAAATCTCCCGTTTCATTCAACCTGCAGCACATTTGTTCTATGTTCTTAAATCAAGCACGTTTAGAAATTATTTTGGTTCATTCTTAGAGCTTTCAAATAGAGAGTATCAGAGAATTCAGTTCTGGCACAATGCTGATGCCAGAGAGATTCCTTTACTGAATGAGTTCTTTAGAAACAACAGCAAAATACATTTGAAAACTGGTTTAAATTTTTCAATAAGACAAGCTTTAAACTGGTTTTTCATCACCCTACCCTTTAGGGTAGGAATCATAGGAGCTGAAATCCAAGACATTTGGAGGAGATTAGATCAGGGTAAATAGTTCTAGACACTTTTTTTTCTTTACAAAACACTTTACTCTGCTTTTCAACCCACAGTCTTTTTTAACATGTCCCTGATTCATAGAACAATAGAATTGGAAGAGACCTACTGAAGTGATGAGACCCAGATCACAGCATCCTTAACAGCTGGCTGTCTAGCCCATGCTCAGCTAGATCCAGCTAAAGGCTCTAATTCAGACATGTCAAACACAAGGCCCGGGGGCCGGATGCGGCCCACGAAGTGGTTTCATGTGGCCCGCAAAGCCATCCTGGAAACAGTGAGGGAATGGCCCCCGCTGCCTTGGCCTTGGACCAGGCTGGCTGGGAGCCAATGTACAATTTTGTGGTGGCCATCTACGCTGAAATGCATTCAGTCTTAGCTCCACAAGGCCGTCTGGAAACAGCGAGGATCCAGCCCCTGCCGCATCGGCCCCATCCCCTGGGTGCATGCTGGGGAGGTGCCACCCTTTGTGAGGATTGAAGAAATGCACCATCGCCTGGAAGTGGCCAGCAAATGGCCTTCGCCTACTTCACATATCCGGCTTGATGGGCTCTGCCCTGGTCCCATCCCTTTCTGCCGGAGACCCTCAGATCTGTCCCACTCCTGCCCTGGCTCCCACAGGCACCCTTGACGCGAATGATGTAGAGCTGGCGACGCCCACCCAGTAGGCCACACCCACTCCATCCACACCCACCCAGTAGGCCATACCCACCCTGGCCACACCTACCTGCCCCCCCCCCCCGAAGGCAACCGTAATGCTGATGCGGCCCTCAATGAAATTGAGTTTGACACCCCTGCTCTAATTGATCCCATTCAAAACTGCTCTTATTTTTTACATTTTTCCTAATTTTCTACTGAAATTTGCTTTCCTATAATTCGCACGGGGGTAAGGATACTTGGGGAAAAAAATTAGTGTGATTTTTGCACAATAGCTTAATGAAGATCTGAAAACCCTGACCTTCGACATTTTTACTAGCAACAGTGAAGAAGGAATCTGAAGATTAACACAAATTTGGGTGAAAAATGAAAACCTTCGGTTTTCCCTTGTGTTACTTGTGTGCATGTTTAAATGTGCTTCGTTCCAGGGAAGGCTTTTGCCTTGTTGCTTTTCAACAGGTGCTGACAGAACGTTTGTGGATTTGAAATATAGGAAGGAAGTCACACCTG